ATTTCATCCACGTTCAATTTCGATTCGTTGCCCAGGGTAATTACGATCTTAAAGAATATTCAACCATGATAGTTACATTTCAGCAAATGAAAACTAACAATGGCAACCGCAAAAATAGAAAATATATATATATATATGCATTTTTAAAACAAAAGATATCGGAGAACAAACACCGTGCACGGATCAAACAAAAGAAACTCCAACGTTTTCTTTTTGAGTTGAACAAGTATAAAAGAAATGATTACCTCACACAACGAAAGAATTTGCAAAGAAAAGAGTATTTTTTTAACAAATTCAATTCACTTCTGCCCTTGGATGTTTTGGTTGTGCTTGTTTGATCTGTAAACTTTTTGATGCTCATTTTTTCGGAATGCAAAACTTTATCTCTCTCTCTCTCTCGTTTTTTTTTTATTTACAGTCTCGAGAAGAAAATGTTCTTTTTAAGTCATTTAATCGGGTAGTACTTTGGCTCTATCTTTTGTTCGATGGCTCTTTGTCAAAGTTTGTCATCACATCGAAATTAGTGTATAATTTTATGTTTGTTTCAGTTTTTCACTCCTCAAGCTATAGCAACTGTGGTTATTTGCACCGCATTCAACAATAACATAAAAGAGAGAAAGCCGATTGTTTGGCATTTACTGATGGCAGAGAATATACCCTTTCAACGGTGGTTCACACATATCTTGATCTAATGCCAAATAACTTCCTTGATTATTCACGCTTGAATGCTGGAGTAAGTGTGTGAACTAGATATGATAAAAGATTAAAGAATAATAAATCATGTGGTATATCGAATATACCTTCAAACGATATTACTAGGCAGTTGGTGCGCACGTACATGCGGATAAAACCAAAATTATGCCAAAATTAAACGAAGCTCAAGGGAGCGTGCTTTCTTTTTGCAACAATGAATGAGTTAAGCGTATTATGTTTTAAACGATAACTATATTGACAGCTTCAAGATGATCATCTAAAATGATGGAATTGAAATGATTGCGAAACATAGAAGAATGAAAGAAAAAAAAAACGACAAATAAAATACCCCACGGCTTTATGAAACTAAAAAACATGTGATAGTCCAAATACTTAAATCGCTTCACAAATCCTCCCGCGCCAATTTTCAATTCAACACGTTTGCATTATTAATGCGTACTGGGCTCCATTGCTGATGCTGGTTGTGGGCTGTGTATATAAATTGGTTTTATATGTATGAAGTTCACTATGAACAGCTCGTTTGGAACAGCAGACACATCACGCTGAAACCGGTAGCTATTTTTTCCACTGGCGAGATGCGTCATCAAAATGTGTTGGTCGAAAAAGGCGCATCATTGAACTGAAACATATACCAAGTGCTAATAAAGTATTAGTGTTAATTCAACCAGAAGACGTTGGTGGTTCGATTTAAAATTATATTCATTTTAATGGGCTTACGAATGCCAGCATTGAATGTATTTAAAATGCTTGAAAAATGTATTTGACTTTGAAGCATCGAATTCCGTTCAGTTCTGAATCAATGCCTTTGATCCAACCTATTGGTGTTCATTTTTGTATGTATCAATCAACTGGGTGTCGTATGTATATCTTGCCAATTGAAAAGGCGCAAAATTGTGATTCGTATTCTATATTTGAGTTTGACGTGCGTCACGAGTTGCCGTTTGTATCTTTAAGCATTTGTGAATTGATTTTTCTTTGCCTTGCATTTTCATTTGAAAGTTCATTTCCAATGTGTGAGCATAGCATCTCTTGTTACGCACAACTAAATAAGCAAACATATGTGCTTTGTGATTCAAATAGTTTCAGGTGTGTGTTTATATGTATCTTTGATATGGTACATATCATTCTATCTCGTTCTCGGGCACAAAACCCAGTTTTCTTCATTTGCACGCCGCCAAAACGCATTCGAACGTTTCAAATGCTTTTTACCAGCGATGGTTGCCCCTCCATCTCTTAGTAAATACAAACACGATGAATGAGGTGTCATTTAAATTGCTTTCATTTCTGAATTGCGCTTATAAATCGTTTCGCTTTGTTGTGCACTCTCTCTTGTGCTCTCGATATCGTGCCACATAATGATACAACAGCAAAAGCATGTGTCAACCAATGCGTTCAGTTTTTTCTATCGTATTTTTTCCATATTGTTTTGGCGATTCAGATAGCACTTACTTCTTTTTTTAAACATTCAAACGCTGTTTAATGGACGATTGCGTACATATCGATGGAGCCGTGGCTGCACGAATCTCGCGTCGCACAGCACAGCACAAACCAAAACATTCTAGAATTCAATTGAAGCATCATACAATTTTTGTTGATATAGAAATCAGAAAATATACAGATGTGAATTCCAGTTTCTTTGCACGTTGCCAATAAAAATACGTGACAATATTTTTTTTTTTGGTGTGTGTTTATGTGTGTTCGCTTGGATCTCATTTCGAATAGCTGGCCTTCGTTTGTGAATATATGTATGTTTGAGGAAATACCATTGCCAGCCGGAGATGGTTGCACGGACCGTCGGAACGATGTATGCACACACATGCTATATGCAGCTGATTATTTTAAATGTCAGAAATGCTAAGAATGTATGAGCTCGTTGTATGTTTTGTTAGATGCTCTTGTGAATACACATTTTACCATCCGTATTTACCTTAAGAACATATAGCAAGATTATAGACCGTGATTTTGTTTGTGCAGTTGATTCGAGGCTGGAATTTAAATTTCTGACTTGGCTGCACACTTTTCTCTATATTTTTTTTATACTATATGTGATTTGAAATACAAAAAAAAAATGAGACACGAACAAACTCTATCTCGTTGAATCAACTTATGGTTATGTGCCACATCCGATGTGTATTATTCGCTCTCCCGCTTATTCGATATGTTCCCTTCATTTCGCTCTATCTCTGAATCTAATTGTGGGTTACTCTTCTTTTTATTCATTTGTTCACTCTTCTCTGCCAGCTGCCCATGATACGATTCACGGTACGATTTTCATGTTACTATACGGAATATACCGCATTTGCAATACATTATACTTGCAAAGCTTACTACTAGAAGATATTTGTCAACTTGTTATGCCTTTTTGTTCAGCTATTCTCTTGTTATTGCTCTTGCTTGAATACAAAAAAAAATCTATGTGATAACGACGCTAGTCTATTTTTTCATTTCGATATTTTATTGCTTGGTCCAATTTAGTGGAGAAATGTTAGAACTACGCAAATAGGCTCCGAACGACGCCCGCCAGAGACCAAACACGAAATTTCGATTCTGAATGCCCAAATGACTCGGTCTAATTTGTACCGAGCTAAAATCGTTCGTGAATTTATTATCAATAAAATCAATTTTAATTACCTGTATTAAATCTGTTTTTATGAAAGTTACCGAAATAAAAACGTGTTTATGAGAATCGTTTGTTTAAACAAGAGCAAATATCAAAGAATTACCGAAATTTTTCGATGACATGGAATTTAATGGATTTTCATGACGGTCGTTAATGTGAATAATTTCAATAAATTTGTATTATTTGGACTTTCGCATTGGAAAACTTGATCTGTGTCAGTCTAATCAGAATCGGATTTGGTCGAACTCTAACTTAAGAATCCGGTTCGTTTATGTGCTCCGAAGTCTTAAAAGAAATTTCGACATTGCGACTGGCTTTTTGATCTTATTCTTCATCAATTTTACAAGTCCCATATTAAATACTAGTATGAAATGCATAACTAGTATAAATGCTAAGTATATACAAAGCAATTAAAATTTTCTTTTATCGCAATTGACATAGCCACTTCAATGCATAATTCAAATGATTTGGACTCGGATCAATGACACAAATATGAGAGAAAAAACACTTTGCGCTCTTTGTTTATACTTAAAAATAAACATTGTAGACTATATATTATACTTAAAAAAACGCTATACAAACGCACGAATTCGATGCAAACTTCAAATATTTGCAAATGATTTTGCATCATTTTGTTTATGTCGAACATTTGCTGGATCTTTTTGGACACTTTCATGAGCATATACTGAGTGAAAAACAAGCAAAAAAATGGATGCCTTTTCCATTTTTATTATATCTCTATAATGCTGCCAGATGTGACCAACAAGTGACGACATTTGTCACGTTTATAATTCAATCATTTCATCTCTGCACATATTGATTTTTATGAAGAAAATGAAATATTTCTCTGACGCTGAAACAGTTTGTTTTTTGCTGAAGTTTGCAGCCAGACACTATGTGTGAGTACGATCAATGCAAATCATCGAAGGACTGTGCCAATTTTTAGTATTCAGAGCCCTTGTGGAAAATTACTGACTGACTAGTCAGTTAACTAATTTGAGACGTTTTTTGGTTAAAGCCAACTGCGATTGAATTTGTTGTAAGTTGATTTGGCTGATTTTTCAGTCAATCCTAGTAGAGAAAAATACAACTTTATTCAACTTCAATCGCAGTTGACTATATAGACAAAAACGTCCCAAATTAGTCATCTGTTTAAAATGACATACATAGACGACTAAAGTCGACTGGGTAGACGACTTCAGTTAACAAAATTCAATTTCAGTCGATTTCAGCTAACCACTCAGTCAGTCACTTTTCTTTCACTCGGGGCGTGTGTTTCAAGAATGCGAGTTAGTTTTGTATGTAGAAGACTTCTGCTAGAGTCGAAATTAGTCGATCAACTTGATATCTACGCTAGTTCATTTAATGCAAGAGTCCCTCGTTCCCCAAAATGGAAGTGGAAGCAAAGAATGCGTTGAAAATGTGATTGAGTTCGAAGTTATTATCACGCATTGATAAGTGGTTAATCTTTAACAATAATAATAACAATTTGTAAATGAATAGGATGAATGTATGGCAACAAGTGCTGCGTGCTGCGAGCAGTTTATCATGTACAGTGTACACACATTTTATGAAAAGATATTCAATGTTATCCCATAATTCAATTTTTTTTTCTTAATTTTCTCACATCTTTTGGCATTCATTTTTGTTTTATTTATACTTTCAGACACCGTACTGCCAACATCGCGCGTTCTCTGTGTATGATATGCAAAAATCTGGATTATAAATGTTAACGATGTAGCTATAAAAGACTGCTAACTGCTTGGGAGGAATTTTATCGTTCTTGTTTTAGTACCTTTAAAATGAAACGAATAGACTTAAGCAAAAACAGATGGCATTGGATTAAAGGTAAATATATATGTAAATGCATAAATTGTATAATTTACAGTTAAAGAAAGAGAAGAGAGCACAAATGAAAACATAAAATTCTTTTTTGACCTAGTCAAACATTTTATGTGATGGAAAAAGAAATGAACACTATACTTGACTTATTTATTGAGGTGTTCCGATTCATAATCTTTCCTTTGTCTATTTCGCTCACCTACAAAGAAAGAATCGCATTTTTTTCGTTTGCTCTTCTTCAGCATCCCGTTTGGTTACATAATACTTACTTTTTTATAGGTTTTCCTACTTATTCGAGCTCTTATCAAATTTCACGGTTTTTTTTTCTCTTCTTTCATTTTATTTTCACTGTCTTTCTTTTATCGCCTTTTGTGCCGCCCCAATTCTCATATAAAATAAAATACAGGTGGTAAAAACAAGGCACTAGTTCGGACATAGTAACGCAATGAGTAACTGTACAGACATAGATTCGGTAAAATGGACAGAACCGGGAAATTTGGTGTCGCTGGCTTGTCTAGCTTTCATAAATGTTTTGGTGATTGTTGGCAACTGTTTGGTGATTGCAGCCGTATTTTGCTCCCATAAATTGAGAAGTGTTACAAACTTCTTTATTGTCAGTTTGGCTGTGGCTGATTTGCTCGTCGGAATAGCTGTACTACCATTCTCTGCAACATGGGAAGTGTTCAAGGTATGTTACATTTCTTCTTCTTTTTTTATACATATACACATTTCTATTCATGTTCGATAAGAATTTAGACGATGATGATAATGGTTCTCATCATGCTGAATGCGTTCTTTCTTTCGGTGTTTCACTGTTCACTGTCTGTGTGGATAATATTCGTTGGATTAACTTTACATCAACTTGACAACACTTTGGAATCGTGTCTACTTTCAATAATGCTCAACCATATCCAAATGGTGGGGCTTAAATTAAAATGTACGGAACGGAAAATAAGTATCATAATTTCCTATTGAAATAAAAGATGAATCTGTTCGGTTTTGCTATTGAGATTTACAGACGAAAAAAGATGTAGAACAAAGGTCCCCAACTGTAGCAGTGTCAAGAAGATAATGTCTTATATAATCAAAATTTATACAATAGCCATCGATTTTCAATTGTTTAGTGCCCTTTTTAAATTCGCCTGTTCAGTCGATATTCTCAAATCATTCCCTTAAAATGATTACAAAGCACAATCGACGTTGTTGATTCGACGATTGTATGAATGTTGTTTTTTTGATGAAAAAATTTCATTGCCGTTGGCCGACATTTTTCTGGTGCGTACTGCTTGGAAGCTAGACAAGAGCCCGTTCAGATTGAACTGAAAAAATGAATTAGAGATGAAAAAGAAACAAAGCATTTTCAATGTATACATTTTCAAAATTCATTGAAATGACTCTAGAATTAATAAATGATGTATATCTTTATAATGAAACAAACATAAATCTGTCATAAGAGTGTGTGCATCCATATTAAAATGCTTTAATATACTTGCCTCAGAGAAATGGATGGAAAAGAGTTCTACTTCAAAGTTTTGACAAAGAATTTTCGGAACGATAACAGACGCGGAAAATACCAAACGAAATGACAGTCAAATGTTGAAAACAACAAGAATAAAGTAAAGCCAAACAACGTAGTAAATGTGTGTGAGAGAGATAGAATGTGTGCATGTGAATAAAATGGATATATCAATTTCGATCTCGTTTTCTGTATATAAATAATTTAATTTATCCATTTCGAGTCATTCGCCATGCAACCCTTATAATACTGATGTTGTCGACTTCTTTTTTTTCGGAAATTTTACTCATTGACTAAATCGATCAGACATTACTAAGTTAATCAACATTCAGACAAGACAATTGATTGGCTTCAATCCGATTTTTATAGCACATGCTGTTTATCTATGTCAATGATGGCTTCTTGTTTAGCAGACAGAGAATGTACACCATATTGTTACATCACGTGGAAAATGCATAAATAAACATGATATTTATACATATATGTGTGTGTTTTTGCATCGTATGTATGCAAATAAACCACTAAACTAGCTATAGTGCATGTCATCGGATAGTTTTTCCCAGATTGGGTACTATTTTTGTCGCTTGCTTTTACATCATGGTTTCGATTTTAAAATAAATATGGCTCGCTCATTTTTTTTACATTGAACATTGTTTGCGTGTGCGCATTTTGTTGTTGTTGCATTTTCGATTTGCTGCATTTTCACACAAATCCAATTTTGTTTGTGTTTTCACTCTATTTCAAATAGGAATGCTACTTATGTTGTCAATAGCTCCGGTTTTTGATGTATTAATTTGATATCGAAATGCACGAGAACTGACCAACGATATGTTTGTTGTGATTTTCTCGAAATAACAATGAACATCATTTTCATTATGGAATTCACACTGGCGAAAAAAGGCATTTACAGATAATAAAAAAGGAATATGCTGTACTCCAGATTTATGTGAATAAAAAATGACGCGAACGAATTGATTGTCAAAAATTGGAAAAGTAAACAAATATCACGAATCTAGCAAACTATATACGAATGTAAATAGTTCCCTGCGGAGTGCATCCTATTGAAAGAATTCAGTACCCCAAAAAAAATCCACCAATTCCAGGGGCTCATAGTTTTTGTCACAAATATGCATACACAAATGTTTCATCATTTTATTGAATTTCATTATACAGTACGTGTTAATTTTTTGTTTGCAAAACCAAACTCATTATTGTCACCACTATAAAAGAGAGACGTTAAAAACACTAGGGAAAAATGGCTTCATAGAGAAACATTTAACGAAAAGATGCGTTGAAACAAAGAAATTAATGAATTTTTGTGCATGGAGTTGTTTGAATTGCAAAACTTATTGGGTTTTGATTCATTGATTGACGATAATTAGAAACATATCATTTTGGGGCCAATGTCTAACGATGTACTCCATATGGTTTAATAGCCATTAAAAAAACATTCGCCCTTTAGATGGCAAAATTAAAGCCAAGTTATTAAATGATGGTAGAAAGTTTTGAGAAATTCAAAATTCTTTTGCGAATTTATTCATTCTTTGGAAACATATTGAGAATGAAATGAAAAAAAAAGCGATTCTCGGTGCATAATTGCGATAAAATGAAAAAGTTTCAAAATTTGCACATTTCTTATATCTTCAATATGATTTAAATGAGTGAACAAGTTTTCATCAACTTTTCTCATCAATCAAATCGGCAAGCTGCCGATTAAATATTAAACCATCTGTACAGGACATGGACTTTTAATATATTTTATATCCATGCGATGTCATTAGGCGAAGAAGATTTTGAAAGTTTTTTTTTTTAACGAATAAGAAAAAAACGTTGATCGGTTTTTTGCGTGGGATTGTTGATGTCTGGAAAGGCACGTATGAGAAATTTATGAACTTTGGTCTCTGACTCAAATTCACAATATGTCATTTAAAAAGCAACAAAGCAAAAACAAACATGGTGAGATGACATTAGATAATTTATGTATGATAACGCCAAAATTGATCATCTTTTGTGATTTAATTTTCAATTCATTCAGAAGATGCAACATAATAAAAAAAGGAAGGAGTCTAACTACGCACCGTGGTTTGCTATGCATATAAATACTGTTTTGCGTACAGAGAAAGTTTTATTCATCTCGAAGCATTGGACCGGGCTTGTACATCATCAAAATCATTGAGATTGATTTAAAATTGAAATTTGTCTCACTAATGAATTGAGAGATTCCACTGTAAATTAAATTTTGCAATCAAAATCGGTTCATTACCTTTTATCGTTTAGTTGTGCTTGTATGACCACAGAGTAAAGTTTTTGTGCATGTATGCGTAAAGAAATTTCCATTGAGACTCGCCTAGGGCTAACCAAAACAAACATTGAGTGAGAAGCACACTTTATTATTGCTATAATTTGAGTCTCGGGAATTTCAAATTGTAGCAGGTTATATATGAATGTCCGAGAATGAAAGCTAGACTTCTATTCACAACTTATTGAAATGTAACACCGCCATACAAAAAGTGCTGACTGTCAAGCACCGCTTTCATTCTCGGGCAATCATATATGTTTTGAAGTTTCAACACTATACATACTAGAATTTTCGATCCACCATACAGTAGAACTTTATTTATGTTTAGCTGAAATTCGTAATGAGTTGGTCCATTGACTCTATGCTTTCATATTTTTCAGCTATAATTTGAAATTTTAACATGGAAAACAAGACAAAGAAAAAAGTTCAAATCGAACGGAAGCAAGAGTGCCTAGCATATATATATGTATTCTCAACTGAAACATAAAATGCAACAACCAACAATTAACTGTGAGTTTGAGAAGCTTTTCTTCCGATTGTTCACGCTCACTCAATCTCAAATGTGCATGGTTTACTATTGCATTTCACATTACATGTATATATCCTATTATGGATGTACTTCATTTTGGCTGGATAGCTATGAGAAAACTTATGTGTTACGAATTTTTCCGTTAAGTTGCAGACAAACGGTTTTACATTCAAAACTTGTTGCTTTTCACCATTTACATGTACATTTTGGTGACGAACAAAAACAGAAGTGGGATGTTGAATGTGAGCGAAACCTCTTAAAATGCATCAATGGAATTTTTCGATGAAAAGAGCAAAGTCAAAGTGAAAACACCAAATATAATACACATAGTACACCACAGTAATCAAATTGTAAAGGACGAAAAAAGTGCAACCGAAGCGTTCAAGTATTTTTTAACGAACACGTTTAGAGGAGTAGAGTTTTTTAATATTTGTATCAAAGCTGTATTCACCCCATGTCTTCTGATGGTGGCGACCCAAAGGGAGTACAATTCCAAAATTGTAGAGGGGTAATTTGGTCTCTCAAAAAATAATTCGATGAAGTTAAAAAAGGTCACTTTACTTTTTCGTCTCAAAAATTCTGACAAATCGTAAGAATTCTCCAAACCCCCATTCCTAGTCCCAAATTTCGAATTTCACATGACCGGATATTTGACTATACATCCATTCTATACTAGATTTTTCATTCCACTCGAATGAAAATTGATCACGACTTACTCTCGCACCAAGTATTGGAGGAATATTTAAAATTTATGAAGTACTTTCGATCGTTTTTTTTCTCATACAACTGTTTTCAGACGAAAATATGTTGGCAATCTTTGTTTCTCAACAATTCATATACGGATTCAAATACATGTTGAAATGCTGATAAACAAAATGTGAACGCTAAAAGATGAAAGTAAAATTTGTAGTGATATCATATCAAAATCAGAATAAATACCAAAATCCCTTTTATTCAATTTAATGACTAAAATTATGGGATAAAATCATTTTGAATAAAGCAACAGTGCCTCCGTATTTTTGGCATAGAGGAAATGAAAAAGAATAAGCAAAAGTCTCAAACATATCAACTTAAATTATACTAAGCACTACGAATAAAAAATACACAAAGTCAATTGTACGCTACATTGTCCACAAGATGTATTTGGCTTCGTTACAAAAATCCATTGAGAATGTAAAATCCCTTCGAAATTGATGAAGTCAAACTGAAATTGTTGTTCGTTTGCAAAAGATGGAGGGAAAAAAAATCTACGCGAACAAATAGTAATTGAATTTCTATTTGATGTTATGCTGTTGCTTCTGCTTTGTAAGTGTGTGTGTGTGTGTGAAGGGAGAGTGAGTGGTT